CTCATAAAGCCGGAGGTGGTCAAGATGGTGTGCGCGGGGAAGGGCAGAGGATGATCAGGCCTAATGTTATGACTTCATTTTTCATTTTGTGCTTTCGGCCCTGCCTTGAAAATCAGAGATGGCTTCGACGGAGCGGGAGAGACCCAGCAATATCAAAGGAGAGGGAAAATTATAAGCTTGACTTATCTTTAATGTTATACATCAAAATGGGGCTCCTGTGATAGGCGCCTGGTGCACAAACAAGGCGGCAGCTTTTGTCTTGGTTGGATTTAAACGGAAAGTCCCCCTAGATATTAATATGTGGACTTCATTTGTTAGCCTGCTAAGTCAGGGACTTATAACAAAAGCTTTGTAAACAAAAGATTAGACTGAATCGAGCTTTAGAAAATGAAAGGAAAACAAGAGTCTAGTAATCACAGATCAGGCCGGGCTGCTCAGATTGGAATCAGCACGGGCTGCTGGAGTGGAAAATGTTTAATTGAACTATTTCATTACGCAGAAGTCTGTGTCCCCCTTGCAGAATCCAAACTATGGGGGGCAGAGAACCCTTTCTGCTCCTCCCTCGGACACGGGGTCCTGTGAGGACGGGACCCCAAGCCGGAGAGACCCAGTCCCCTCCCCCGCCCTCTCCCCTCTGCCCACCTCCGATGCCAGCCAGGGCGGAACCCCCCACCCACCTACACCTGTCGGCCTCACCTCGAGCACCTTTGGCGCTCCCAGATGGCCCTTCCCAGAGCACTGTAAGCCCCACTCCGGAGTCCCCTGGCCGCGAGCCCCACGCGCTCCTCACCTTGGGTAACCTTTCGGGGTCCCCGGGGTGTCTCGGGATCACTTTCTGCAACCGCTGGAAGCCGTAGTCGATGGTGGGTTCGTTGAGGGCTGCAAGAGACACAGACGCAGGTGAGGGCGGTGGCCCACACGTGCCCACTTCCCGCGGGCCGAGAGCGGCTGGCACGCCATCGCGAGAGCAGAGCCCTCTCCCGCCCAGAAAGGCTGTGATCACTCCTGACCTGTAATCAGACGGGAAGAAAGTCAAAGGGTCACTCAGTATGTCATGAGAACGGGCATGCCGTGGGAAGAGCCGGCCGGCACCCTCGGCCCACGTCACCGCCGCCTCAACCCCCGGCCGGGATCGATGGGCGCCGGGGACACGTGTCCCGCTCTCGCTGCCACAGATTCATCCGTGGCCCCTTTCTGCCGGGCGCATTGCCCGGGCACCCGGCCGGCCGACGCACACTTCTTCCGGACCTTTAATAATCCGTGAATGGCTTGAGTGCGAACCGATGTAGGACACTATCATCCCACCGGCTCACGGAGTTGCCCGCCACAAATAGTAATTAATCTTTTTATCCCTCAAATTGTAATTTTGACTATGAACTGTGCGCGGCCATAAATCAGCCGCCCGCGCGGGGGACACTGCATGAATCACGCGGCCAGCCCGCGCGCGCGCCTGTTTAACAAGCTGCCCAAGGAGCCGTCGGCTCCATTACGGCCTGCCTGGATCCAACAAGACCGAGCCCCGAGGCTGGGGATGTGGGCGCCGGCGAGAGGACTCATTAGGGCGCATTAGTGCCCGATGTAGATATTGTTTTCTGGGGAGCAACGCGGCGCTGCCTGGCGTGACATAAATCAGGGCTTTTCTGAGACTAATAAGACCTGGGCCATCTACTCATTACCCGGCGGCCACCTGGACCATCACTCATTAGTCAGCACCTAATTTCATGATTAACGCCCCGCTCGCAGGTTGTGCGGTGCCGCGCTCAAAGACCAGCTCCCGCCGTGCCCGGAGCCGCCTGGACCCTCGCCGCCCCCGGCCGGGCTCCCCACGCACCCACGGGCCACGCGGCCGCCGGGCCGGGCCCCCAGCACGATCTGACATTCCATCATACGTCCCGGAGACAAAGGTCCACACCGGAATGTGAAGTAAGACATTTTCTTGTTAATAAAGCATTGATCCGGCATATTGATCCTACATGACACAGCTCCTGCCGCTCACCGGCCCTCGTGGTCCCTTTTGCAAACAGTGGAGCTCTTCCGAACGCCTCGCAGGTGCCCGCCCGGGCACCACCGCTAACTCCCTGTGATGTAAATTCTATATGTGCAAAACCACTTCATAATCAAACCATTAATCATCGGAGGCTGTCGGCGGGGACTGGGGGATCATTTGTCATGCCCCTGCCCGGGCCGGGGCCAGGGTGTCAGGCGGAAAGCACCAAGTGGGCAGCAGGCAGGCAGGCGGGTGGGCGGACCGACCTCCCCGGTGCCGCCCGGTGCCCGGCCAGGCTGAGCCGCTCTGGGCCTTCTGGGTCGGGCAGTGAGCGGAGGCCGCGCGCCCTGCTGTCCTCTCGCCCAGCTAATCACCATGACGGTTTGACTTAATGAGTCGCCTGATGAAGGGTGATCAGGAAAGATAGATGGGCAGCCCTATTGATCGCACCAGACGCCTGACAGGTGACAGCCGCCTCCCGCGAGCTTCCTGGGGCCTCGTGACTTGGAATGACCAGCCCGGCCCCCTGCCCCTGGGCCCGCAGCCCCGAGAGCCCCGCCAGGCACCCCCGCGAAGGCCAGCGCTCCACGGAGGGGTCGGGCGGACCCGGCAGCCGTGCCTGTGCCAAGAGGGGGTGCCCACAATGACAGCAGGGAGCGACCCCTCCCACGCACCCCGGCTCGCCCCAGCCCTGGTCACCGTGGTCCCTGAGGGTGGGCAAGGCCCACCTGCCGTCCTTCCTGCGTGCACGGAACCCCTCAGGCGAGCGGGGGCCTCTCCCCGGCCCCCCAGCAGGCCCCAAGCCGGGGGAGAAACGGGGGCCCCTCTGCGCAGAGCCGACAACCCCCGGCGTGCCGGGCTTCCAGGGCGAGGGCCAGCGGGGGCACGGTGCTGGCACGTCCAGCCACAAAGCCCCGAGCCAGGCCAATCAATACCACTTTCCTGTTTTAGAACTGGGTAATTATGAGGGGGAGAAATTGCCTGACCTTTCACCTGCACTGCATTACTTTGCTGATATTAAGATAAATTGCCTGATTTTGGGTAAACATATGCTGCAATTCAAACTGTCAGCCCTGGTTTGCTCAGGGATGATTCGTATCGATCTCCCAGCTTCTTCCCGATTTTGCTTACTGACCTCGCGGATAATTAGAGAAGGGGCGCCTTGGGTGAGCCCGAGTCGGGGATGAAGGAGAAATATGAAGAAGAGGAGGAAAGCGGATTTGTGTTATGTTAATGCCGGTGGGTCCTCCTGCGCGCTCCCATCCGTCAGCAAGGCAAAGCGGGGAATTAATGGACTCGGTTCCGGCGCGATTCATTCCAGGGAATTATTCGCGGGACGCCTGGACTCGGAATGTGTGTCACTGGGTGGAATTCATTTAAACTCTGCCTCAAACACCACACAAACAAATGTTATTTTCTGCTGACAGGGGCGGAAGTGCGACCCTTCTCGAAACGTACCGCAGACACCCCCCCACCCCCCCCCCCCCCGTACCCAGGGCTCCCGCCCTCGCCCCTCCCCGAGAGGGGGAGTTCTGTGACGAGCGGCCCCCACCCCAAAAGTCATTCGTGCTCATTATCTGTTCTGAATTCAGATCTGGTACCGGTGGGCTGTGGGTATAAAGGAGATGAATGTGTGTGCAAAACGGTACCACTGAAGACATGTCAGATTCTAAGGCTGTTGTATCAAAAGTCATAAAACAAATCTCCCTTGTGAAATATCTCTTTATTAACGGTGCCATAAGATATTAACATTCCTCATTTAGTGGAGGGCCTTTTATCGGTTTCAAATACATTATTCGTCCTTTTAGAGATAAACTGTATTAATATCCATTTGAGTAGGCTACCGCGGCCTAATGCATAGTAATTTTTGTTGGAGAGCTTTTATTTTAGAATAAGAAAATTACACAGCAATAAAACCTGAATGAATCAGGAGCTGGAATAGCTGGGAATCGCATTCCGGGCCAAATGGGGCCGGCAACCCGGCCGCCCGCGAGAGGCCGACAGCCACTCTCGCCCACCGCCGGCCTCCAGCGAGGGGCCGACAAATGGATGCTGACAGGGCCGCAGAGACGCCTCACTTCCTGCGTGGCCTCCCGCCGGGGGCGGGCGCGCGTTTGGATACTTGGGAGCGAGCTGGGGCTAATCGCGTTAGGTCCCGAGCATGCGAGTCCTCTCAGAAGCAGCTTTCTAAATATGCAGGCCGCGCCGGGGACTGGGGGATTAATCATACAACAATTGATGACATTTTCACAGTCTGTGATGTCAGCTCACGCGGGGGCTGCCGGAGCGAACGTGGCGGCGAGGGCACAACTCCGCGCGGCTGTGGCCAAACCCGGCCCGCGTGGACGGCGGCCACGGGGCTGGCCCTTCCGAGTCCCCACAAGTCCTGACCTCCTGCGCCAGCTCCTCCCGCCCCGAGGCCTGTGTCGTCCATCCCAACACGCCCAGTGGCAAGCGGGGATTTCAGTGGACAGACGAGTACTGAGTCTGTAGGGGCCGAACCGCAAGGCTGCTGACCTGGAAACCAACCCCAGACCAGAAGCGCTGTCTGGGCCGGGCTGCGTGTTCTACAGAGCCGCTCTGTTGACGGGGAAGAGCCAAATGCCCGGTGGTCTCGATCCCAGTCCATCCCCGTTTACTAAGCAGCTACTACATGCCTGGGGCTCGCCGGGCTGCTCTGATGTGCTGCCTACCGGACCTGCAGGACCCCGCGCCCCACCTAGCCAGGAGGCCTCCCACCTCCCACCCCACCCCATCCCCGTAACTGAGCTCAATGGGATGGCCACTTCCCCCCGCCCGCCCGCCAGGCAAGCAGGTCTGCGGTCACAGAGCGACCCGGGCAGGTAGCACGGTGGCCGCCACCGTCAGCACCCCGCTCCCTCCCCGGCGTGGCGGCCGGAGCCCAGCCCGCAAGGAGCAGCGGCAAGAAGTCCCAGGTCTGGTACAGATTTCCTCTGCCTGAAAACCCTGCCTGCAACAATAAAAACAGGAAGACATTCATCTGCTTCCCTCCAGCTGCTGGCTACGGCGGGTAAATGAGTTCCAGTTTCATTTCAATAATGATCATCTTCCTGTAACTTCCCAATCATGCATTTGTCATAATGCAGTAATTTTCTAGCTACAAACAGATCCTCCTAATGAGGCAGTTTTTCACATTAGCCACATAACTACATAATAGGGGCATCTGCAGTTCCTTTTCCGAGGGACAAGAACGCCTCCGACGACGGCGACGGGGACTGTTAAGGAAGATATAGGAGGTTCGTGACGAGGAGGCCCACGCCCAGCCCGGCAGGCCGCACGCCTTCAGTGTGCCTGAATGAACACAGGTTGTAATGTGTAAAAATTAAATAAAGTAAAATTAAATTGCTCAATACAAAGACATCCCTCTAGAGGGTGTTAGTGATTTCAGTGACAAAGTGCTATTTGCTGACAAGTAGTTTACACATTAACCAGCTGAATCCAAGGGGGAAAAATGCCAATAGCAATTATATCACCTTGAGGTTATTAAATGTCCCACTGATAAGTAACTAGGTGAACTTGACCAGGTGATAAAGACCGCTGTGAGCCGTGATTGCGTGGTGAAGGATGGCGCTCCGTCCCGCTGTTCCTCCAGATAGCTTTTCCTTCCAAAATGACTATATAAAAAGTTGCATTAAAAATGTGTAGCCACGGAGGACAAAATGGGTGTTTAGCGCCCCGTGAGCCCCGGGCCCGCCCCCGCCCCCGCCCCCCGCGAGCCCCCACCGCCTCAGAAACATCACACACGTCTGCAGAGGCCGGGCGGCCCTGCTCAGGCTTTAAACTGATGCTAAGTTCCCCACTTCATCATCCACCGTCTCCTCCAAGTGCATTCCATCTATAAGAAATTCAGATGCTCGGGAAATTAAAATTT